TTTTTTTTTTTTTGATTTTGTTAGTTTGTTATCTATCAGTTTAATATGTTAATAATTTGTGTTTAAATATATTTTGTTTTTATTTATTGCGTTAATGGATTTGCTAAATTCAGTCATCGTCATCCTCAGATTCGGCCTCTTGCAACCAAGTCAGCCAGTTGTTAACTTGGAATAATGCAGTTCCCTTGCCAGGGTATTTGTCTGAAATTTCCTCCTTCCATAAAATAAATGTCTCCTCTTCGATTACTTCGGCTTCATAGAGATATTTGAACCAGCGGCAAAGCATACCTAAACATTGAAAACAAAAAAAAGTAATTACATATTTTTATAGGAATAATTGCCATTCGGCCGAGTGTAAAAATTCAGCTTGGTTACATTAATTAATAACTAATTTTATTCAAACACTCACCTTTGGGGAAATTTTCGTTATAGCAAAACACTTGTAGTGCATAAATAGCAATCAATTGCAGTTCGTTGCTGCCACCCAGGAATGTTTGCAGAATTTGGCAATATTTGAGCAGCAACGATTCCTCTTTCTCAATGGTGGCACGATCTGGATGTTTTTTGGTGTCGGTACCTTCTGCTAGTGTTGTCTCCTAAAAAAAAAACAACAAAAATAGTAGTTAGTAATATGCCACATTAAATAACAGTTAGATTTCAGTACTCACTTGTGTTATATATTTTACTATAACTGTCATGAGTGCGTTAATAAAACCAACATCTTTATAGAATTTGGAATCGACATTGGCTTTGATCCATTTATAGAATGCTGTGGGATTTGGATCGCTTGTGAGTTGCTTATACATCTCTGCCTGTACTTTTAGTAATGGATAGAGGAAAGCCAAGTTTCGATCGTCTAATATTTCGCCTAAACGCGTCTTATTGCGATCCACTTCCGGTAAGCTGTTCATTAAATCGATTTTACTTTCACGGAATTTCTCAGCCAGCGGCTCCTTACCAATGGATTTGTGCAATTGCTGCAGCACGAGCAGAAATAGCGGATAATGTTGGCCGTTGTCTGTGTAGTTGGCAATATCGGTCAATTTGAGTAGACCAGCATCGCCAACGGCGCGGCTCAACAGGCCAGCAACATGTGTGGCAATGCGCGGATTTAAAGCTTCACGTTCGTTCATTTTATTAATAACTTGCTTAAAAACTTCCAATATGATATTGGGCTTGATATTGCATTGCTTACGTAAGGCTTGCATGAATATGATTACACGATTCAAATACTTGTCTTCGGCTTTTTCCAGCACATCCATTATGATATTAATGCACACATCCTTCATACATTTCTCAGGCACTTTGAGATCCAAAAATCCATCTACTAGATTAGTAAATTGCTTGCCTTGGATGCTATCGCTGGCATTCGAGCTAGCAACGCCGCTATCATTGTGATCTCCTTCTTGGTCGTTAACTGGGGAGTCAGTGATAGTTGTATCCTCATCGTCATCGGAATCGTAGAAGAAATTGTCTTTAACATAAATTGTGGTTTTCTTCAGCACTTCTTCTTTATTGAAAGCTTTATCTTTTTTCTGCTTATTCGCACCGGCGCCAGCAATCTTCTCCACCGAACCTTGTTTGGTGACCAACTGTTGTGGATCTACCGGTGTGGAGCTACGTTTTTTATAAGCAGCATCCGTCATATTGGGGTAATCTGTATTATTGTCGGTCGGTTTTACTTTTTCGCCGTTAGCATTATTCGTTGCGCCGAAGTTTGGCGAGGAAGAAGTAGCTTTTAGACCTCGCTCTAAAGTTAAACCCAAGCTGGCGGATTGTACATTCTTTTCGCTCTCATATTCCGCAGATGGAGTGGAGGAGGGGCGTCCTGGGTTTATTAGGTGCGACGTGGGAGTGCCAAGTAACGGATATTGTGTGTTGGACAGTTGATCCTTGTTGGGAGCACCGCTGCGGCTGGAAATGCTATTGCCGAAGCCACTGCTACCAGTGGGCGGTGTCGAAATTGGCAACATAGCTGGCAGTTTATGATTTTGTGACGCAGCTTTGAAAAGAAGTGAGTTGGCAGCAGGACGCATTTGCAGATTTTCAACGGGATCCTGATTGGTCGACATCAAATTGCGTTTGAAGCGTGGTGCAAGTTCTTTGCTGTTTAGCAGCGAGTTTGCACCGCCGTTGCCATAATGAGATGGGCCAGAGGAGTCACCATCTCGTCCCATGTGCCCATTGCGGCCACCACGTCCGTCCTCACGATTTCCACCGGATCCACCATTTTGGTTATTATGCTTATTATAACGGTTGTTGTAATTGTTGCCATCACGTCCACCTTGATTGCGCTCACGTCCATTATAGGGGCGATTGGAGTTATTACCAACAAATCTGTAAAATATTAAAAAAAAAAAAAATTATTATTGCGTTAAATTAGGTAATATGGCTAAACTTACGGTGAAACAATCGGCGAAGCACCAGTTACGCTTAAACTACTAAACATGTCATTAAAGCCTGGTTGCAGATTTATATGGAAACGATTCATCCAGCTATCACCGTCGCGATCATTATTGCGCATATCGCGATTCCTTTGTGCGAACGGTGTACGAATAATTGTATCATCGTCTGTGCGGATCTGCTTAATAGGCACAGGTCCCTCAGTGGTCGCCACTTTACGGGGTATCCAGTTGTTTTCACGCAGCTCGATGACATCCTTCAACATGAAGCGTATCCTAGGCGGATAGTCAGTCGATTTTGATCGGCGTTCCAAGGTATCGAAATATTGATTCATCAGCTCTTTGCCCTGTTCTGAATCCAGGACCTTCCCGCACGTCTTGAGCAGCTGTGCCAAGCACTCCATGTCCTCGCACATTTCCTGCTGTGAGGCTGAACGCTTCTTCTTCTTGTCCAGCAATTCCATGATGCACTGATGAAGGACATTTGTTGACAACATATCCAATTTGTGGAGTTCACCAATGAACTTAACATTACCCAGCATGCGCTGTTTGGCCAGGTGACGCCGTTCTTCTTCATCGGTGTCATTTTCGCCAAGATTTACTTGTGACTCTGGTCGATGTACTTTGTTAAATTGATTATTGTTGTCACCGTCGGCGTTATCGCGTTTGAGACGATTATTAAACTTGTCACGACAAACAGCGATGAGCAGCCTTAAAAAGGTACATGAACTGTTGGGATCTTTTTCAAAAGATGGAGCTTCTTCGGAGAGGCGCTTGCATAATTGTGCATACATAGACGAATATTTCGGCTCATCTAGAGCTTTATCAAAAATCAACAAAATCACACCATTTAAAATGAGAATGGAGTTTAAGTCGAGCTTCAATAATTCATCGCTGAGTTCTTGAAATTTCTCTGGAGTTAATTTATTCAATATACCGCGGACCTAAATATAGACATTAAGGTTTATATAAACGAAAATCTATAAACTTATAAATATTATATTACAAACCTTTCTGAAGACAGCATCGTTCTTTTCGGTCTGACTAAGTCCATGTTGTGGACGCAAAGATGGTGGCACCCAGCGACCTGCAGATGGAGGCGGTGGCGTGGGTGATGGTGAAGGATGTTGTGTTCCGGCTGTGGCACCAGCCGAGTTCGGTGATATACCACGTGACGACGATGACGCTGAATTTATCGAAGTTGGTGTTGAAGAATGTGCACCTGGTACTGATCCGGTGCCAGATACATTTCCGCCACGAATTGGTGGAGTACGATTGCTATAAGCTCGACCAACATCAGCCGAATTAGAAGCACGATCGTAACGATCCTCTATTGAAATACCACCCTGTCTTAAGGCAGACGGAATATGGCCGTTGCCGTTACCCTGCTCAGAGGGCTTGTATCGCCCGTTGTTGCCTCGTTCAAGACTATTAGAATTGCTATTATTTCCGGTATTATAACGTGAACGTGGTGTGTCGTCGTACTCTCGATAGTTGTTGCTACCGTAGTCTTCACGGTGATTTGATCGCGGATTTACATTTCCATCATTGTAGCCAGAACGTGATCCATAGCCTTGCTTATTTGAATAACTACTATTGTAATTGCCATAAGACCGCTGTTGCCCATTGCTGTTCTCGTAACGGTTGCCCTGCTGCTGGCGATAGCTGTTGCCTCCGCCACCGGTTGAGTTTATATTACGATTAGCACTATTGTAGCCGCCATCTGACGAGTTTTGATTGTTATAACGTCTGTTGTTGCTTCCGTCGGCGTTGTATGAGCCGCGTCCGCCGTTACCTTCGTTACCTATGATAGCACGTCCGATACCAGCACCACTTAGAGTGCCGTTACCGCTTGTACCAACTGATTTGGGGCCCTGTCCCAAAGTGTCACTATTCTTGTTATAGTAACGCGACGACGACGAGTCACCCTGGTAAGTTCGTCGAGGTCGTGGGCTTACGTCCGAATCGTATTGACGAATTTTGGCGGAATTCCTGTTATAAGTTGAACTAATATATCCCGAAGAGCTTCCTGCTCCAGCACGACCTCCAGCAACGATTCCCGAACCAGATGAACCGCTACCGTTACCGGAAATTAGACCACGTTCGTCGGTAGATGTTGGAGACACACCGATCGTATGGGCAAGGTTAGCGTTATTTTTATAACCACCAACGTTATTCCCTTTTGGGCGATAACTATTAGCACCACTATTGGTGTTACCGTTTGTTGGATTGGAACCCTTATCAATCTTGACTAAATTTTTCAAATTGTTAAAAGTATCCGACGCAGTGGTAATCGGCAAAAGATTGGGACTTGTATTTAACAGTGTTTTACCGACCGTTGGTGTGGGCGGGGATTGGCCGCCGCAGCTGACGCTAACGCCGCCGCCTCCTCCTCCTCGGTTACACGAATTGTCGTTAAAACGCTCAGTATCAGTTTGATGAGCCGTTATTGCAAGGTGTAAACCGCTGCCGCCAATACTGGTGTCACCGGTGCTGCTGCCTCCCTCAATGGTGCTTGATTTCACGATCCTGTCCTGCGCTATTGTGCCTGAATAACGGTCGCTGGTTTGATCCCAACGTTGCCTTGGGTCGTCGTAAGGCTGCGAGAAGTGATCACTAACCGTTGAATGAGGAATGGTGGAAACTTTTTCGTTAACTTGTGGGTAAAGAATTTGAAATTCTGCTTTAAAGCTAGCTAACACGACGTTTGCTGACGTAACTGTCTGATGTCGTAGCGCTTCGTTGACAAATCAATAAAGCTCGTCTACTTTTTGAAAAGGAAATATTTTGGTGTATATATAAATTTAAATGCTTTGTTTGCTCAGATGAACTGCTAAGTTTGATAACTGTCTAATCACTGGCTGATTGACCCACAGTGTGACTGGAGATTTAAACGATACACTCAACTCACACGCACACACTCACGGTTGTCGATAACGTAAAATTTGTAACGAATGAAGACGCAAACAAGTTGTAAGTGATTACAAAATTTCACTACTTTTATCGCAGATATGCGATTTCCACAATTTATAATAATATGATATCTTTACAAGTGTTGTATAATTTAAAACTTTGTTTTCTTGGAAAATTATGTTGTTTTCTTCAAAGTCAATTGCCTTGTATATGAAATTATTCTGCAAGTAAAAGAAAAATATTCGTTAATGATTTTGTGCTCCAAATAAATACGTTGGTATTATATTTATATGCTTGTATTATATAAATATACCTGGTATATATTTAGAACATTATAACTACCTTTTCAAATGGGCACTAATGATAGAAAATTATGGAAGCAAACATTCAATCGAAAGCGTTAAAATTGTCGCATTTCTTTAATTGAAAAGCCACTTCCTCAAAACGGTTATTCTACACTGTATATTTTTAGCATTTGTTGAATATTTTTGTATTTTAACTCTTAACTAATGAACAGAACACTACGAAGCACAACGATAAACTAGTTGTCCATCAAAATTGTGGTATTAGTTTTTGCATCGTCCGACAAAATTACAATAATAACAATACAGTCAACCTACTCATTTCACTTTGCACTTTATCTCTATACCTGTTTTCAAACTACTCGATCTTTGTATGTTCGTCTGTCTACCTACACTTCCAGTTCCTCTCGCTTCTAAACCAGCTGATTTTGCTGCTACTGCTGCTTGATGGTCGTTTTTCCATCTACCTAGGTTCCAGCATGCTGCGTTTAAAACTTTGTTTACGATTCAAGCAGTAAATTCTTTGTAGAATCGTGTCCCTTGAAATAACACACAAATAAGTGCTGCCACACAAACCAGATAACAATTACTAGCGAGCTATACACTATGTATTAGGTTTAAGCAAAACTATAATTCATAATTTTCCTTCATGAATGTGTATATACATATATGTATGTACTGTCTACGAATTTGAATAAAATTGTGAAGGCATAGTACAGTCAGACAATTTCCAAAATTGTAGCCAACAGAAATTTACAATGCAGTACCGCGCAACAAAGATAAATTGCATGCCAATCTTAAGGCCACCTAAAACATCGATCCAAATATACTAGATACATACGCCTAAGAAAAGACAACACCCTGCAGGTCATCACAAAGAATTTGACAATTATAATAGTTATTTTATAATGACCCTCAAATAATTTGTTGACTCTTTGAAATCTTTACAGAGTAAATTATTCGTTATGAACTTTCTTTGTTCATACAGCGACATCACAAAGAAATTCAACGTCGAAGATGTGTGTGAGTAAGCACTGAAGGAGAACAAAAACCCCCACAAGGTGTAAGGTAGTCGATAGCATTTATACACATTTAAAAGTTCATACATAAGTATATGAAAAAGTAGATAGATGCAAGACAAGGCGTACATGCGCGTTTCGAGGGTGATTTTCGTGTTTTCATCGTACTTTAGAGTAATTCTCCAACTTTAATTAGTAAGTGTGAAGGCTTATTTACAAAAATATAAATAGCTTAATTTATAAAGTAACGTTCAAGCGAGCACTGTTCTAACGCTCTTTTTGTATATTTTATATGTACATACATAAACACATATAAGTATAATTTCAATACATATATAAATTGATGGCCACTACAGAGCTTTAAATTGATTTCGACCTCAATTCAGACTTGTGCCGTCGACGTCTCATTTCACTTGAGCAAAGCAACGTTTAATTTTCACTTTGCACTTGCTGCTGCGATATTACCGTTGCCACCGCCGTTTACCGCGACGCTGTCGTCATTTTTTCTGCCCTGACGTCTGCTTTCCCCCCCACAAAACATTCGTATACATTTTGGAATGTTTGAGCTTTATCAGGCATTAACAGAGTTTGAGGCTTAACGCGATAAATTGTCTTATGACTGTAAAAACATTTAATATAAGAGAGCTCAAATATCGAACAATTACGTCGAAATACAGTTCAATGTGTTTTAAAGGAAAACATTTTCAAATAAATATGTGCATATGTAAAATACTTGATAAATACAATAGCGCATCATGATACATCTCACAAACAAGATGCTTCTCAGGTATGTAACAAAGATTAAAAACGTAAAATTCAACAAATGAAGCTAAACACAATATAAGCACATATGTATCTATATAAGAGCATGTAGCTTATGTACACAATAAATTATAATAGGGAAAAATATGAAAAAGCTATACGCGAGTCAGGAAATGTGCATCTACCCAGTGTATGTATACTAGAAATGGAAGATGTGGCGGGGCGCGCGACAAGACAAAACAACACATCGATGTCGTCGCCATCTTGGTTGCGACGACGTTCGTGTGATTCATTGGCATTGTATTGCGAGCCTAACACGCTGCGACTGCAACGTTGGCAGCGCTGTTTCAAAAGTCCGAATTTTCTTTATACTGGCGAAAAAATCGTTAAGATAAAAAATCCTTAACCTTAAAACCCCACTAATATAATTCACTGCAGCATATATTTTTGCTAATAATCGATTTGCATGCAGTTAAAATCACGATTTACAGTAATTAATAAAGAATTTTTATGTATGTATGCAATGCTCGTAGAAACGAATGGAAAACTCATGTCCACAATACTGCTAAATTCGATTTTATTTTCTCATTTAGTTTTATGAGTATTACCGACTTAATTTTCACTCACACTAAGAATCAATAAATTTATATATAATTTGTATAATGTAAATGCACTTACCGTTTCTTATAAAAATTTATTTTTCTGCAAACCGATGCACAAAAATTGAAACTCACTAGCCAAGGCAAAGGCAAAAACGAAGAAATTAACTTTTGTCACCGAACCTGATGGCGAAGCAAACGAAACCAACGAGTATACCAGAGTGTCTGCAAGCAATGCAATATTGGTACTATTTTCCAATTCGACAAGTTGCTACGAATGTTACTTTTTGACAAGAAATGTATTTAAAAAATGAGCGACAGACAGAACAAACGATAATTCGGTTTAACTGCAAGATTTTGAAAACAAAAATTATTTATAGTTTCGACAATTGAAAACAAATTTTTGATAAATAAAGTGAAATATTAAAAATAATAAGTAAAGTATAAAAATTTGTATTTTAAATAGAAATTCTCAATAGTAATTTAATCAGGAAATAAAATGCAACAAGTAGCATATTTTTATAGTTATTGCAATTTGTAAGTAATTGTAATAAATCGTTATTTAAATTTGACAATAATTAAGGCTGTTTTCCCAATATCTGGTTGGCAGTCATCTGCCAGTTAAGTTCTGTTTAAAAAAGGTCATTTACCGAAAGAAATACCTTTGGCTAAGTTAACCGAAGCTTATACCATGTTCAGTCCGGATATTTAAAAGATTAGATTACATTTAAGGATTTTGTAACCCAACAGTGTTCTCACTGCTATTAGAAAGATCAAAAAACAGCTGTGACTGTCATTCAAGAATTCACATCGCTTAATATTTATCAAAAGAAAAGATTGTCTATAAGATTGTCATTTGTTTAAATTTTTTTCCCTTCGTAGTGTCTAAATCAGCTGTGATAATGTAGTAGATTTTATGCTGCCAAGTTGATGGCGCAAAATCAAAGTCACACAGAGCGATTTAGCGTGGATCAGTTTCAAATCATCACGATGAAGTGATTTTGAACTGTCATTTTTGTATGGTGAAATCTTGATGAATTTATAAGATTAGTGGGATAAACCACTCAACAGCCGAAATCGTGTGATTAGGTGTCGGTCTGAACATGGTATTAAGTGACAAATGGCTAATAATTAGACATTGTGAAAACGGTATTAAGTGAATTATTTTATAAGATAATCACAGTGGAGAAGCAGCACTGCTGTATTCGCTAAACTCCTTTCAGCGATATATTAAAAACGGAAGCATTCCGAAAGGTTTTTCGTTCCAGGGTTGCAAGTTAATAAAGGTTAAATAAATTTCAAATAATAATATATAAAATAAATAGCAAGTTATCTGAATGTTAACAAAATTAGATTGCAATTAGATGATTATGAAATTAAATAATTAAGTTTAAATCTAAATTATTTCTTAATTCTTCAACGCATTTCTGAAATAAAGTTAATCCAAATATTTGTTCAGTGTATCATATATCGAAAAATGGTAAATTACGTTATCGATAACATTGTCATGAAGTTGTTGTTGCATTTGACAGTTTTATTTTATGGAGAGATTGTTGGAAACAAAGTGTGTGCAACAAAGTGAAATAAGAATATGATGGGTACATAAAAAAATATATGAATAAAATTTTATTTACAAATAAATGTAAATCAATTACTTATTTCACTTTGTTAAATACACTTTGGTTAGAAGATAATGGTGTTTAAAATATGATGTTTTTTGTTTTTTATTATGCTAATAAAGAAGATGAGGTAAATGAGAAACTGAAAGAGGTGTGTTTGTCACAGTTCGTTATTTTGAAATCGCAAAATAAAATGGTTAGAATAGCATCCCCCGATTTCGGGGTAAAAATTTATATGTACGGATAGAGGAGGTACTCCAGAAAGAAAATATATACATATAGTTGCCGCTGACGTATGGCTTTTGAGATATTTGCATTTAAAGCTCAAAAATTCAACTATTTAAAACGCGTGCTTTTCCGATTTATAATTAATTTTACACTTATATTTTATTTTAAATTTTAAAATTTTTAAATTTGTTCAAAATGGCTGTTTTTACCCGAGAAAACTCATGTAACTCCACAAACGTTTTGAGAAAATTACAAATACATATTCTATTAAATACAGCAAATAAGAGAGCGGAGGAAGGGAAATAATTCTACTCGGAACCAGAAATCTCAGGAAAGAAAGGTGTTCTGCAAAAATTATTTTCGGTATTGGGGGACACCATATCATCCCCGTACCGCAGTTTTCTGTCTAGGCCTTAAACACATACTTATTTACCTACAAACATATCTTTAGTTATGTTTTTGAATTACTTTGAAAATTTCAATTACATTTGTAGATAGATTAGATAAGCAGCGAACGAATCCAAACTCTTTCAGATGTCAGTTAAAAGTCCCTTAAGGCCGATTTCACAATTCTGCCCGAAACTCTTATGTATGTGTACTTGTTCTCTCTCTCTCTTAGTAAGCATTTTAAGTAAGAGTAAGTTAAGAGTTGTACGGTATGTGAAAATGTGTTAGTTTCCACACTAATTCTTTCAAGTTATTGGAATTTCTGTAGTTGCTGGGTATCTATCTTCAGTGAAAAAAAAAATCGAAAAAACGCTATCGAAACCTAAAAATTGTAGATAATTTTTACATGGAAATATATATATGTACTTATGTATGTAAGTTATTATGTGGACTATGGACTTAATTTTATATAAAAACTTATGTTTTTATAACTTACAACTAATTAATCTAGAAAATGTGAATTTTAGTTCCAGGTCACACTTTCAAAGCTAATCGTATCTTGACTTATTTATTAATATAATATTGAAATACACTTTGTTTTTACTTTAGTTTATTTGATTAATTTTTTTATTAACGCAATACCTTAAAACCAATTGCTTTTACAACGTCATTATATTGCTTCAAGCCAGCACCGTTCGCTTCGGCATAGTACGGCAGCTCCTCCAGTCGCGTAACCCATTCATGGATTTTCGGATATTTACCCGTATCGAGTTCGGCGTAAGTAAATAACGATGTTACTGTAGCCGCAAGTGAGAAATCCGCAACCGTTAGCTTTTCGCCAGCCACGTATGGGTGTGCCTGCAGGAAACCTTCCAACTGCTCATAGACCTTATAGACGGCATCAATTTTGGCATAGGGAATTACATTGTTGTTATTAAATACAGCTTTGCTAATCGTGAGGAATGTGCGATCGAAAACCACGGTGGCTTCATAGAATAAAACTTGGTTGACTTTGGCGCGAAGAACTAGATCTTTTGGATATAGCGAGTCGTCAGTACCGTATTTGTCAACCATATATGTGATAATAGCATGCGAATCGGTGAGCACCACTCCGTCGTCAACTAATGTTGGCACTGTGCCATGTGGATTAATAGCGAGGTATTCCGGTGTTCGATTCTCACCAGTCATTAAGTTGACAAGTTTGTATTCGAAGGGCACATTCAATGCTTTCAAAGTTAGTAAAACAGCACGACACGGCGCGCTTCCACCAATCGCGTACAAGTCAATTTTTACCATTTTTTTTCAATGTTTTTTAACCGTAAAAAAACGTTATGTTATTGTAGAGGTTGTTCTAATAACTAACTGAATAATACACCTGAATTACCGTTTATGAATAACTTGCTGACTGGCGGCTACGGTTTATGTGAATTACATTATATATATTATATATTATATTTATGCTCTTTATGCAAAGTATTTACCCTCTCCGCTCTTTTCCAAGTGTATTTATCGCGTGGTTATCATAATCAGTATTCAATTTATATTTGTACTATACATACATAAATAAATACTCAAGACATGAAACCATTGTTGATAATCATATCGTACATATTTTGCCTGATATGGATTTTGTACAAATATCACGTGCACTAGGACGGATCGATTTTTTTCCACGAAATCCATCATTCTGAACAACTTTGCCTGCGAGAATATGGGTCGGTTTCAAAACAATGATTTTCTAGATGATGTTATAAAAAATTTCTTTCCCTTTCTCTGCTTCTCCCCGCGGGTATTGCGTCGAATAACTTCAGACCTGGAGGAGTTTCGCCCATTCAGACCCTATCTCTTGAAAACTCGTAACGTCGAATCGTCAAATGTTGTCATCGTCCATGCTTCTGCACCATATAGCAGGACGGGAATAATGAGCGACTTAGAGAGTTTGGTTTTTTTTCGTCGAGAGAAGATGTTATTTTTAATTGCCTACTCGGTTCGAAGTAGCATCTGTTGGCAAGAGTTATTCTGCGTTGTTGGTATTGATACCGGTTCCAAGATAGACGAAATTATCTACGACTTCAAAGTTTTGACTGCCAACAGTAACTTGAGAGCCAAGTCGTGAGTGTGACGACTGCTTGTTCGTACATTGTACAAACTCTTATAGAAGATTGTACCTTCGTTATTAAGCTCTGCAGCTCTAATTATTTTCTCCAGCAGTAGATTGAAGAAGTCGCACGATAGGAAGTCGCCTTGTCTGAAACTTCGTTTCTTGTCGAACGGTTCGGAGAGTACCTTCCCGATCCTGACGGAGCTTTAAGTATTGCTTGACGTCAGCTGTGTAGTATTTGTTTTTCGGAGATACCAAATTCAGACTTGTTATGGTCAGATTATGACCTGAACTCAAATACTTCAAAGGCACTATTCGAGCAAAGTTTTGTCCCTATAGTATATAGTATTAATTGGTGCTTAATTTGTATATTTAAAATTGTGTTATATGGGAATTAGGTATAGTTTTAGCCCAATTTCGCATGGGACTATCAGAAGAATGTTATGTCCCGAAATTGATTGTCTCTGACGCATTTAGTTATCGATTTATCGCAAAACTATTATACTCTATGATAACACGTTGAAAGAGTATACAAATAATTGTGAAATTTGTTTACTGTTTATTCGTTTAAACCGATAATTTATCTTTCTGAAATCAAAATATTTAGATAAATAAAAAATTGGCGCATTAGTTGATTGAAATTGGGATTGATAAAATAAAGAAATACTTCCACGTATAAAAATAACCAACTTAAAAAGGTTTAAAAAGAATCACAGTTAAAATTTTTATCGAACCGGGTTATCAGCCTTTTAGTTTTTTATACTAATTGACATTAAATAGTGGTCAAAATAAATTCAGTATCGCTGCAGTTAAACGATCAAGAACTTGTCTT